CAGCATTGGGAATCTACTTTACCTTGAACTACATACCTGAAAATGGTCAAAAAAGTAAAATTCGTCATATATATTTTCCAAGCCCAGAAATCGACACCAGAGTTACATGCTTTAACAGAGGATCTTGCTCAGGCACACCTCAGATCCCACTGTGAAGAGCAAGGAGTCCAATAAACCCTGGGCCTGCGGAGCTGCTGACTTCGCTGTCAGAGCAGACACGGCCAAGGATGGCATCTCCATGCTGTTGGAAATCAGCTTCAATGTTTGGATGTGAAACATCAGGGGTGCACTTTCTGACTAGAAGGTTCCAGGATAGGTGTTATTAGTTCTTTACTTTATTCAACAATCTCCGTGTGCCCTGCTATCAAGACCTCTTTCAATTCCATGCAGCATTGCCAATGCTGCTTCTTGGAGTACCAGCCAGGAAGCACTATTTACAAAAAGTAACTAGAGGTCAGAGGTTGTGAACAAGGTGAGAACTGGGGACCATCTGCACAAGATAATAAATTCTGTTTGAGAGGATTTTACTTGTCATCCAACTTTGCTGATAACAACCCAGCAAGACACCGTGCCTCTGCAGGACACATCAGCCAATGATAGCATCAACCATGAGACACTGTTCTCTGTCGTCCATAGTGAGGTGGAAAGGTGAACTGTGAACAGCTCATCAGTGGATTATTAGGTAAGCTCAAGGGGGCCAGGACAAGTTCCTGTTTTCCCTCCGTGGAAAAGTCTGGCTGGGCCATGAAAAGACTTTCAAGAAAGGTTTCTGCAGAAGTACTGACATTCTAGGCTATTGGGTTGGTTTATGTAAGGAAGAGCTTGACTGGGTCTGGCTGAAGCTTCAGAGGTTAAAAAAAAAAAAAAAACGTCAAAACAGGGCACAGATAATCTAGGACTATTTCAAGTGAATTCTCTCAATGATAAGGGAAAAGAACAGGATATTAAATGGTGTTGACAATAATATCTTGACCTTGCACAAATAGGTACAAGAAACAAAAGGAAAGAGATATGCAAAAATGTTAGCAGTAGTTACCTGCATGAGGGAGTCAGGCAGATATTCAATTATTTTATTCATTTTGCAAATTTTCTATAAATTTTTATTATAGTTGCACATATTATTCTGTATTCTGATTACTTATTGAATTTTTTTTTCCCATTAGGCTATTTCCTTTAGAGCATGAACTATGCCATTTATCTTTTCATTTCTGGTACTTTCTACTACTCCTGAAATACAGCTGCTATAAAATATTTGTGGTTCCAAAGGAAGCATTTAGTTGCTACTAAGTTTTTCATAAAGATCTGCTTATTACTAGGCAGCTTTTAAGTATTTCTTCAATTGTGGAGGAGATTATTCCAGATCAAAGGGAAAGAATGTAGTAGAAACTAATATTTGCACAAATGAGTGATAATGATATATGATAAATTAGACATTGGAAAAAACATTTTGTAGATTATTGGAAAGAAATGCAAATATTTCTTTGGTTTTCTTAAAACATGGCAAACATGAACTTTTGGTCGCCCAAGGAATTCACATTCTTTTTCAGACACTGTGTGTTTGCAATTGGATAAATAGAAATGAATAATTATTGAAGAACAGTAGGAATACCATAAGATAAAAGCCATGGAAGGATCAGAGAGCCCAACTTATTCTCCAGACAAAGGAAGACAACAAAACTTCAATAAAATGTTGTTAAAAACATAATCATGGATATTAACCCATCACACACAAAAAATCTAGCCTTAAAGTCTAGCAAAAGCTTAATGATGGAGCAAACCAAAGTTTCTTGGAAAATGCCTTAGCAGTGTGTTAGGATCAAATCCAAAGCACACAAGTTGGACCCGTGCCACCCGACATACTCGGTGTCCTGCTGTGGATCTGCGCCTTACACTGTGCACACCAAGGCACCTCCTCGTTTTGCATTTTTAAATATTTATTTTTTAGTTTAGTTGGACACAATACCTTTATTTTATCTATTTATTTTTATGTGGTGCTGAGGATGGAACCCAGAGCCTCGCATGTGCTGGGCGAGTGCACTACGGCTGAGCCACAACCCCAGCCCAAGGAGACTCCTCTTTGAGTGCTAGAGAGGGACTGAAAGAAGGAAGAGTCAGCAGGAAGGAGCCATGGGTTTGCATGTGCACAGTGTAACTTTAATAACCACCAAGACCACAAATGAGGAGGAGAGGGCATTGGCTAATTATCATCATTTGTGCAAGGGTCTTGGAAAGAGATAAGAGAATGAGTTGGAAAATGCTGTGCAAAAGTATGAACCTGGGTGATTTGGAAAAACATCCTAATTGAGATGCACCCAGCATGTCAAGGATTATGAGGCTATAGACAAAGTGTGAGAGAAAGGACTAGATACATTGGGATATTTTTTGGAAACCATTTTTTACTCCAAAGAGATGCAAAGAATGCTGTGGATGAGTCAGCCTGGAAATAATAGGAAAGGGAGACCTTGGTGTTCATGGGAGCAAAGGTTTAATAACACCCCAGAGGAAATTATCTAGCAAAAACCAAATGTCTCCACATTTGTTTGATAACATCCATTAGTGCAAACCGTCTGGCAGGAACCAGCAACAGGCATAAAAATATTTTGATTTGAATATCAGCATGGAAAGAAATGCATGAGCTATTTAAAGAATACGTATGTGTGACTAGTGAAGCTCAAACAGTAATTAACTATAACCTATGTTTGGTAATGAGGTGTGTTTTGTTATTTAAAGCAGGATGTTCAATAAGGAAATAAAAAAAATAGATGAGTGCTAAGGAACTTGAAGCAAAAAGAATTAAGGAATGAGCTGAGAACCAAAGAACCAGGTAAAAAGGAAGAGCCTAAAGCCAAACTGAAAAGGAAAAGAATGTAGTAGAAACTAATATTTGCACAAATATTCCTAGGGCGAGCGCCAGTGGGAATAAACTGAAATTTCCTGAAGTCCTTTTTCTTTGTGGAAAATATTAAATGTTACTTTTTCTTGATGAATATTTCCCCAAAAATTACACTATAAAAGGAGGTCTGGAATAACATAAAAGTCTAAATACCATTAAAGCAATGTAATTTGTCATAATTAGAAACTGAAACCAGTGAAATGTTCCCAAACTGGGTATGGTAAATTAAATTGTGGTACAACTCTGTGTTGGCTATTATGTAGCCTCCAGCAATTGCAGAGAGGAACACGAAATTCATGCATGACGGAGCTTTAAATGAATCCATTATTTTTATGCTGTATGACTGTACAGCTAAAGCAATGCCATATATGCATACATATAATTTTTAACACAGATTTTCTTAATTAAAATTGTAAAGTTCTTAGGATTCTCAGTAAAAAGCAGCTGTTTAACTAGCTTGGGTTATTTTTTATTAGTAGTACCTCCATAGGGCTCTACGCGGCCTCCTAGTAGGAAAGTCAAGACAAGCATTGAACTTACTTATAACCACAGGGCTTTACAAAACCTTAATAAATGCTGCAGAGATGAAAGACGTCACCCTGGGAGGTTTTCCATAGTTCAGTGTCATTCTTTGCCCTTGTTCCTGGAAGTCATCCAGTAGACATGAGGGGTAGCGTGTAGAAAGAATTTACATGGAGCAACCTCAGACAGAGGAACTACCAAGCTTCCATGCGTCCCTGTTTATGATTTCGTCCCCCAGGCAGACGGGCATCTATAAACAAAACCTGGGGCTCTGGATGGATTTTCCTAATGCCCATTTTCGTAATGATCAGTTTGCCTAAGAACATTTTGAGAAACATCTATTCCCTTTGGGAGTTTCTGCATCAGTTGGGGTATCCAGTCCTTTTGTGTTATTTTAAGATTTTTGACCAAATCCTCTAAAGCCATATTTTCTTTCTTTTGTATTTCCAATAAATAGCTCTTAAAATTTGCATTGTTTGAAGAACCAATGGATTGATGAATATCTTCGTGGTGTGTTTTTCTATGTTATTTACTTTTAAACTCACTAAGAATTAAAGTCATTCCTTTTAAGTGAAGAATTCCTCATCAAAGCATAATTCCATTTTTATTTTTAGGATGCTTGCATGGATGCAAAAATACTAAAAAGGATTTTCAATTAAGGAGGATGGCTTTTATGAAACCTTAAATTTCTTGATTTAATTAGAGTATTTAAACTGATTGGATTTTAACAATTTAAAAAGAATTCCAACACCTTCACAGTGAATTTCAATTAGGCAGAGGGACGAGGGTTACGTGAGGATTGCCTGGGGAGTGTTCCCAGCTCTACATGCCTGCTTCTTCTTTTAAATTCCAAAATTTGGGGGAAATTTGATTGTCATGTTCACTTTCTGTTAGTTAAAAAAAAAAATAAGAGAAATGGAATCTGCTTTTGGCTTTGTACTTACTCCTGACTATATTCTGATGGCTGAGCCTTTATGATCTTCCACAAAACATTTTCAAGAATTATTTTAATTAAATTAGCAGAACTGATTCTGAGCAACAGAGAGCTGCTTTTTCTTTTTTTTTCAAGAAAACTCATACCTGGATTCACATCAGCAGGTTCTGTGTCAAGAGGGTCCAGATCATAACGCTATCCTTCTTTTGATGCAGAGGGGATCAGGAAAATATATCTATTCCATGAGCCAAAGCCTTGATTGATTGATTGATTGATTGTACTGAGGATTGAACCCAGGGGGCCTTAACCACTGGGTCACATACCCAGTCCTTTAAAAAAATATTTTATTTTAGAGACAGGTTCTCACTGAGTTGCTTAACACCTTGCTTTTGGTAAGTCTGGCCTTTGAATTCACCATCCTCCTGCCTCAGCCTCCCAACCTGGTGGTATTACAGGTATGTGCCACTGTGCCCAGTAAGCCAAAGCCTTTCAAGGACTAAGGTTACCAGAAAAGATGGCATGCTTGCCATGTGCAGCTGGCAACACGGAGGCCCACTGACATTGCCCAGCAAGATCGGCCGGTCCAAGCCAGGGTGGCCAGCAGGCATGCTCCACACACCAGCCATCCAGAGCAGGCAGCCAGTCACTCACCGGCAGGGCAGGATCCTGACCACGTCGTTGGGCTTGTATCCTTCAATACAAACTGCACAGTTGTCAAAATCCGGCTCTGTTTCCTGCAACAGGAGCAGTGCAGATGAGACCACCCTCCTGGCTTCGTGAGTAAATACCAAATAAACCAAAGGACAGCTTGCCTGGAGCCAGGCTTTCAACAGCCTTTGCTAGTTTTCTTCATCAATAATTTACCGGCTATCGGTGTAGCTGGCATTCTTTCCAACCCCCACTTTGTATTTCTAGGTGCCACCGCAAGTGCTTTTGTGAGGAAAACCATTTCCTCATGTACTTTTACTAATAATGCTATCAATTACAAGGAGAGGTAACATATCAGAATCTTGAGTATAACAAATAACATTTATGGAGAACTATCTGAATGATATTTAATCCACCGATTCCTCTGTAATCTAATACATAAACTACACAGAAACACAAAAGAATGTTTTTCATTTTTTTCAAGGACATAAATTTCTTTTAATACCTCAAAAATTTATTACTATGTCATAGCCCTTGGACTTTTATTATTCTCTGATTGAAGGGGAAAAAGGAATGATCAAAATGGACTTCAAATTTAGGAATACTCTTGAAAGAATTTTATCTTAATGCACCCAATAGTGTTTTCAGAGAGTTGAAAAGTAATAGCATATAATAGTAATAGCACATCAATCCTTCAGACTACAGTCGATAGCTGCTACACATGTGGAATTGTGGATCCCTTACAATGCTCCAAGGAGCCCCAGTCCTTCGAACTGGGTTGTAATCCATTGATCTAAACATCTCCTGGGAGATCAAAGAGACCTTTAAAGGCCTGCAAGCCTGGACTGTACTCTTTCCTGTCCTTTCTTACGATGCTGTGATTGCTTCTGGCTTTACTCCATGATTCTACAGTGAAGGAGACTGTTGCAATGATATTGGGGTGTCCTGAATACTAAATTTCATAGGAACTGATATACTTTTTGTGTTTAGACTCTAGACGTGAGTGTAGAACAGAACTCTGCACATAGCTCTACCTTCCCTGCGAGGATTACTGGACAAACTTTTTCAGGTCAAAATACTGGGAATAACTCTTTTGTTTTTTTTATCTTGTGGGACACTGCAGTCAAATATCATTTGAATATTGAATTTTGTTTCCTTCTTTGCACTGGTTGCTGGAGAGCCCCGACCTAATTTAGTATCCATTTCCATTACCTGTTTCAGGTAATGCATTTGTGCAGTAATGTCATCCTGGCTTTATCCATTTTTTTCTTGTACACTTACTTTTCTGTTTCTCATATTCTGTAGCAAATGGGTTTTTTTGTCCTACTGAATGCATTTTATAAACTACTTTAAATAATATTTAATAGCATATAATAGTAATAGCACATCTATCCTTCAGACTAAAAAAAAGGGCACATATCAGATGCCTACAGGATGACTTTAAGCACGTATTTCCCTTTTCCATCCTTCATTCTCTTCTACCCTGACTGTCAGAAAACCAAAGGAGAGCAACTACTTTGAATAGTTTCCCACCAAAAAGAAAAGAGGCTGTTACCTTGTCACCCTTCTTGATGGTCCTGACCTGGAGCTTGCTGATGGCTTTCTTTGCTGCATCTCCCAGTCGGCGCTGAAAACACCAAAAGCTACTTGTTAGTAATGAAGATGTGTAATTCTTGACTTTATTTCTGATGGCATTTAATAAATCAGGGCCACTGTCTCTGAAATCATGCACACCTGGCATGAATGTTAACAATGATGGCTGGAAGAGATGGCACAGTGGCATCTGTGCAGAGAGGCTCTGCTGACCAGGTCTGTGAAAGAGAGTCTGGTTACACCTTGTGTTAGGCACACCGCAAACGATGCAGGAAGGTCCTGCTCTTGAGTAACTTCAGTGCAGTTTGCAAGACAAAAAGTATTCAGTATTCGCCACCCTTAACTGCTCAGTCTGTAACACAATCTAGAGAGTTTAGAATAAACTTCATCTCCTATTTTTTACTATTGGGGCTATACTGTTTAATATTCCCTTCCATTTGCTCCTGCAGACCTAACCTAGGTTTAAATTCAGTCTGTTTGATCCTATTCCGTCAAATTTCATATGTCAATTTTACTTCCCTTTGTATTGGTGTTGAGAGTACATATTAAAAATACATAAAAAAAACAATGTTCAGGTTAGCACATAATTACAAAGCAAAGATCTAAGTAAACCACTACCATCCATGTGAAGAAAGAATGTATTATGCCCATTTAAAATTTTTTTATTTTTAAATATTTTTTTTAGACCTTGATGGACTTTTATTTTATTCATTTATTTATATGTGGTGCTTAGAATCAAACCCAGTGCCTTACACATGCTAGGCAAGCACTCTGCCACTGAGCCACAACCCCATCCCCCAAGCCTCCCTTTTTTTTTTTAACAGAGTAATTACTTTCCTAATGAGCCCTGTAATAATGTAATAAGAGGGCAATGGAAGAGTGGGGGAGGAGAATTCAATTTTAATCTGTCAAGGAAGAAAATCGCTAGTTAGTGTGCCATTAGTTTTCTACATGTTTTCCCTCCATCTTGGGTTTATGTACTTCTGCTTTATAATATATGAATATTTGTAGTAGTGAAACATATTTGAATGATTAGAATTAACAATGTCATCATTTAAACACTCAAACTTCTTTCTTTCTCTCTTATTTATTTTTTTGTGGTTTTTGGGGATTGAAGCAGGGCTTTATGCTTGCAGGGCAAGCCCTCTGCCACTGAGCTACATCCTAGGCCAATTCTTCTCTTAAAAACAGTGAACCGATATTGGTGAATGCTTAGTATATCCTAGGTACTTTGCTAAAACTTTATAAGTAACGTTGCCTTACTCCTTACTATAGCCTGTAAGAAAAGAACTTTTTTTTTTTTTTTAATAAAGAATGAAGACTCATAGAGCGTGGGCAAATTTTTCAATATTTTAGAGACAGAGAAAGTTTGAAACTGAATAAAATCAAGTCTGACTTTAACATCATAGCTAATCTACCACCTTCACTTTATTCACTAAACAACCACCCAATCAATCAACCAGCCAGTTAGCCAACCAAAAAACATCTGACTTCTAGTCAGCTAATCATCCAATTAGTTAGCCAACCAACCAACATCCAAAATAGCCAGTTAATCAGTCATCCATCCGCCCATTCACCCACCCACCCATCCATCCAAGCAACGAACCATCCAACCTAATGACCAACCAATTAAAGGCTATTTAAAGTACATATCATAAAGCACTTCCTTAGCACACAGCAAAGTGCATAAGCATAAAAGGTGATGTTCTTTTTAATTCAGTTTCTCTTTGATTTCCATCCTTGATTTCTAAAATAACACTGGCATTTTTAATAGAAGACTAAGTTTTGGCTGTTTCCTAAAAGGAGGGCTAGATACACTTGAGATTTACACAAAAGTCCATGAGTAGCCAGCACACTAAGGTAGCCGGAAAACTTAGGAAGAGTCTGCAATGATAATTACCAAAGGTAGACATGAGAATGAGAGAGAGAAAGTAACTGAGGGAAAAGTAAACACGTGGCCTATTCTTCTCCTTGTCCTCTGGTTACTACCTTAGTCATCCTTACATCTTAGGTCATTCTTCAGGGATCCCCCAGCAAGATCCCTCTACTCTAGACCCTCATTGCACATTTTCGACACACCTCTGCTTTGCAGCACTGTCACATTGGGTATTTGATATTTGTTTTTATGATCAATCTCTGTTATATTTCCCTCAAGTAAGCTCTTCAACAGGAGCTCTGTGTATATTCTTGCTTTTTACTATGTCCCCAGATCATTGAATAAAGCTGCCTTCAATCAGTGGCACTTGATTATACAACATGTATTTTTGATCTCTTATTCTATGCCAAGCACAGCTTTGGGTTTTAGAAAATTGGTAGTGGGGAAAAATAATGCAGACATTTTTGTCCTCTGTAGCTTATCATCTAGTAGAAATTCCATAAAATATGACTGAATAAAATATTAAGCCAATAGGTTTTTTTTTTTAAGCATGGAAACAACCTGAGAAATTTAGCCAGTTCATGAAAAAATTTACAGATAAACTATAGTGACTTGTGTTGTATATAATCAAAGCCGAATTTCTAGCCCCAGCAAACCCAGCTTGTCTCAACTAGTAGGTGCCAACTATTGCAATCTGGGCCATGGATGAAAAGCACTGAGAAAGTGTTACTGGTCACTGGGAGAAAATGTCACAAACTTGCAGAATACTACATTAACACCAAGAAATCTGGGCCCTAAGTAAACAAATGTTGATTGCTTTTAAGCCAAGAACTCAGATATTTTTGTAACTGTTTAATTGGTATTCTATAATGTTTGTACCCAATTCAATTACTTAAATTGTTTTTGTTATCAAAGGATGAGCAGAGTAATTAAGCAAAAAACAGTATTTTCAAACAGGGTCATAGATTTGTATTCAACTGAAGCCAAAGTATGTTTAAAGCAGGTGAACTAGAAATGATGTTTTCAAAATTTAATTTTCATTTAAAACAATTCTCTAGCAAATGAAAGATGTCTTCTTAAATGTGAACATATAATTTAATTTCAAGGAATGGGAGGAAGAGGAAGGAGAGGAATCACCACTACCACCCAAAGAGGTAAGTCCATTCAGGAAATGTAGAGTAAGCTAAAATTAATGTATCAAGGCTTATGGCTAAAAGGGAAGTTAATGGTTGTGGTATTAGAAAGATGAATTCAATTAGTGGCATTTGTATGACTGAGTCCAAGAGAGGTTAAGGTGCTTAATGAAGAATAAAGTCCTTTAGGAGATAGGCTTCCCAAGTCAGCAGAGCTAAGACTTAGAGACTAGTGCAAAAGAGAAAGTCATGAGGTTCTCTTCAAAGTTTCTACAAGGTCTTTCTCTTTGGGAGTCCTGAAAAAACTCACATGATTCACAAAGGCAGGAAGACATATTTTCCTTAACCATTGTGAAAAAGGGTACAACGGTGTCTTTTCCCTTTCATGCTCCTTGAAGGTCCTGGAGTCAAGCCTCATTCCATAGGTTATGGGTAGACGGCACCCATTTGCCTCCTTTGAGGAGCAGAAAGATGGAATTCTCCAGACTCATGGAGGCTATGAATGTCTGTCCTGTCGCTGGGGGAATACCCAGCTGCCTGAAGAAGATAAAATCAGCTTCTGAGAAATACATGATCATGGGGCCAGGTAGCATTGTTTATCTACTTATTTTTTGAAAGCGTTCTGAAATAGCAAAATAAGGGGAGAAGCCCCATCAAGTTTTCAAAAATGCAGCATGTATTTGCATGTAGCCAAATATTGTCAGTATGTCTCAATTCTTCCTAAGTGACAGTAAAATTATATGTGGGAAAAAAAGTCCCACTTTCAACATTTAAAACAAGTTTTGAACATTTAAAAGAAAGTTCTACTTCCAACAATTTTCACACTAGTGTTGGATTTCCAAAATGCAGATTAAAGAGATAATAAATGCAAACATAAATATTCTTAATGAAACGACCCAGATAAAGTAGTTGTTGCTTTTGTTGTTGACCTCTTCTTTTGGGGGATTTTTTTTTTAACTGTGCCAAGAATAAAGGAGGAAGAAAACGACAGGCCCTGTTCAAACTGAGTCTTGCCCAGGGCCCAAGCAGAGAATCTAGGCATCAAACCTGAAGTCAATCATAAACAGAAGCTTTCCTTTGTGATTTTCAGAAATGCAGAATGGAAGAGTTAGGGACCACCTCAGGGGAATGGGGGAACACTAAAGGTTTGGGTCAGTGCTTTGTTTTGGGTGGGGTTGTAGGGTTGTTCTCCAACCCAACCAAATCCAAATCAATGGTCAGGACTAGGCATCTTGGTAATCAGATTTAGCTATCAATTTGATCTAATTAGGTACAAGAAAATATTTTCCAAGGTTATTGGTTTCTGGACAATGGTGAAGATGAAATGCTTTATGGAAAACAAAAGCAGAACCACACATTAACAGAAAAAGTCCTCCATAAGTACCCCGTGAGGATGAAAAACCATGACAAACCCCAGTTCAACTTCAGACCCATAAATTAGTGATCTTCCAAATGCTTAAGAAACTAAAAAGGAAGACAGTTTCCTCTTCATCTGCTCTGTTAGAAATTCAATGAAGGTTATTTAAAAAAAAATCAGGAACCAAAATACAGTTCTGGGACTCTGAAAATGATACCCCAGTGCTGTGCGCAGTACCTTGGACTAGAGGAAACCGGAGGCCTCAGGAGCAGCCTCAGGGCAAAGTCTCCTTCTGCCCTCTTGCCCTCCAATTTCTAGAAGTGAGTGGAGGAAAACAGTTTTCTGTCTCCAAGGTGAGTCGGAGAAGCTAGAGCCCTCTCCTGAAGGAAGCCATGAAACCTGGGGTGGGGGCAGGTGCCACTCTCAGTTTCCCTTGAAGGCTCTTATTCCACAGTGTCCTGTCCCATACGTGGGAGGAAGGAGTGTGCCCAGAAGATCCACAGAGGATCTGAACACCCCCACTGACCGCCCCACTGTGCATTCCGGCCTTTTGTCCACTCATCTTTCTCGGTGGCTGCTCATTCTTCATTGTGCGGAGGAATAAAAATAAACCATGTCCCTTGGGTCTTGGGTCACCAGTTTCCAAGATTCCCACATCCCATTAAACT